GAAAGATATTCAGCTGCAAGAAAAGGCTATTTCTTATGGAAAAGAAAAAATGATTCAGAAAGCAAAACCAAGGCCACAGAGCCATGGAGAACAATGAATTAGGGAGCCACACAGTGGAACTGGGCCCTAATCCATGGACAGTCCTCCCCTTGTAGTCCAGGAAAATGGCAGCTTGTGCCTATCTAGATTTCAGAATTGTATGAACCACTAACTGTAAGGTACTTTCAGCACTCTTTGATTTCTGGGCCTTGCTTAATATCTGTGAACCTCTTTTACAAAACAGGGATAACGACTGCTACGTCGTAGGACTATTTCGAGGACTATATCAAATCACCATTTTTTAATCCTCTTGATAGTCAGTCACTCTGAAACCAAAGTATGGTGGTCTTGTTGGAAAGACACGTAAGACAGAGAGTTAACCCTCAGCTGCTGTAGCTACCCTTGTTAAGGTACCAGACATGTGCGTAGAGTCATTCTGAAACTTCCAGATCCAAATGGGCCAACCTGGTTGACCTCACTTGGATCAGAGACAAGCTGTATCCATGGAGCCCTGCTCCAGCTGCAAACATGCGAGGAAATAAATGGTTACTATTTTTTTAAGCTATTAAGTTTTGGGGTAGTGTGTTACACAGCAATAAATGACTGGAGTAGAACTTGACTCATCAATTTCTCCAGAATAGTCCAAGTGGCTGGCTAGGATGACACGGTCATGCAGAGGAACAGAAGCAGCAGGCCATCCAGTGGATGAAGCACTTGAAAGAACCAGACGGGCTCAGTGCTGTTCTGGGTTCTTCATTACCTGCCTGAGTGTGAATGCAGTTAAGTCACTTGATATCTGTGAGCCTCCTTTGCAAAACAAGGATAATGATTGCTCCTTTATAGAACTGTTTTGAGGGTTGTATCAAGGAACCAACAAAAAGCATGTTCGAAAACGATGAACTGTTCTTCAAAAAATGGTTCTGCTATTTTAACATGTATGTGTGCTTTGACAGAGGTACACCAGACACTAGCTTTGCCTACTTCGGATAACTGCCATTCCCTACTCTGTTCCCTTGACAGATGTCTGTTAACCAGTGTTTCTTTAAGGAAAAAGTCCTAGTTTAAAATTTCCTAAATGAAAAACAGTGTAGAAAGACATTGAATGTCATTAAGGAAATGGCAAAATGAATATTAGAACAGGCATCTTGTGTCTGTAAATGTGATTTCTAGTTTATTTTAACAGCTATACTAAGACCCCATAGTATAGTTAACAGCATTATATGCATTCTGTCAAAAATAAGAAAATATCCTCAAACACAATTTCTAATTTATAAGCTTATGACAAGTTCAAGCTGCTGAGAAATTGAACTTGAAAGTATGTCTTAGAATGATAGAAGACCACTATTAACACTATCATAATTGTATACCTATTGCATCAAATCTGACATTTCAGTTTAATATATTTTGCTGAGAGAGCATACCATTTTATGGCTTCCTAGTGAAATCAAATCCAACCCAGACGTTTTCACTTTTCTAATATAATTCACTGCAAGGTTTTAAAGCTGACATCTCTTTTCTTCCTTTTTTTCAAAAGATTGATGCCCTGGCATTCATTAATTCCACGAGAGCTCATAATGGGTCAATGAGTCAGTGGTGAGCACCTCCATTAACTGTATTAATTTACACTATGTCACCTTAATGACATTTTGTCACGGCTACCTTTCCTGACATCTACATAGCTATTCAAAAAGTAATATAACAACTTTTGAAGGCATTACGGAAAATTAGTGGAAGAACTTCAGTAAGTTGAATGTCATTGTTACCGAGAGTCTACCAAAGGAGGGAAATAACAAAGTAAAAACTGGTGAGACTCAACTCCAGAGCCCTCTCTCCCAAAAGGTCACCTCAGCAGCATGCTTTCCTCCCAGCTTGCGTTCATTAGCACAGGAAGAGACTGACATTAATAGAGAGAGACAGAATAAAACCATCCACTGCCTTCCAGTTCTCTCTTATAGGATTATCTAAGTTAGTAAATATTGCAGATATTTTCTTCTCTGGAAATGGAAACACATTTCCTTAAAATATATCGAATGCTGTGTTTTAATAGCTTAGGGAGAAGAAATAAAATTTAGGTTTTAATACATAGAGAGCAAAACGATGACTACTCTCAGTAACATACTCTTCCCTGCTAAATCAGGTATTAGTTCAGTGGGGAAATTTTAATCTATGTATTTAGTCATGATTTAGAAAATTCTCTATTTAGCACCAGTTACTATCCAAAAAAACTTATCTTCTCGCTAACATTCCTTTCATGAGGACCCCAAATTCTGATGTTATAAGGAGACAAATGCCTATTTTTGGCTGGAGACACACACACACACACACACACACACACACACACACACACACACACACACACAATGAAATCTTACAAAACAGAAAGACTGAGAAACCATACTAGCAACGCAGCTTTCTAAAATTTCAAAAATCTCTTTCAAATCAATAAGGAAAAGACATATCCAACTGAAAAATGGGCAAAATATACAAGTCAGTTTATAGGTCAATAAATATTTGAAAAATGCTTCACTTTAGTCAAAGAAATGCAAACCTGAACAAAGCCCACTCCATTTTTCACTTGTAAGATTAGCAAGTTCCATGGTTTATTACAGTAGTTATGATGGGGGAAGGGGAGGAGGTTACTATAGGGAGTGAACTATCATCTTTGGAGATGATGGTTTGGCAATATCTTAAAAATTAAAAATGCATATAGCCTTTGAGTCACCAGGCTCATTAATAGGAATCACCCGTTTATATATATATATATACAAAGTTCATCAAGATTTCCGTGCAAAGACATTACTGCAGCCATGTGTTTAACAGTAACAATCAGAGAGAAAGACAAGCTCTCCACCAACAGAAGACTGTATAAATAAATTACAGCATGTGTATGTAGCGTGCAGCCTTTAAAAAGAAAGGGTAGGCCTACACAGCAGGATATCTAGATATACTATACAATCTGAAAAGTTCAGGAGTGGTGGTAAGAGGGAACTGAAAATGAGAGCAATCTGAGTAACGTCAAGCTAAGGAAATGAACTTATTATGAACTAATTAAGTCTTGGGGAAAAAAAGTACATGTTTGTGTTCAGTGTGGTCGCTTGAGGATAAAAAAAGAAAAAACACCCAAGTTAGTGGTAGCCACGTTGGTCTTTGTCTTCCACGATGTGACCCCAGGAGCCCAAAAAATACAATTAGTAATAAAATGTCAATGTTTCTGAAAAGGTTCTGAACAAAAAATTCTGGGAGAGTTTGGAAGAAATAGCCTGGTACAAGACATTGGTCACCAGAGATTCTAAAAAGTAAAATTCTAAATTCTAAAAGCAAAATTCTAAAAAGCAAAATTCTTAGGCTAGGAAGCAAAGCCTAAAACATACATGAGTTAGAGAGGCTGGCCCCAGTATGCGTGAGAGTGTGAGGGAGGATCTCTGGATTAATTTAAAAAGCCAATTTTCTTTTTTATGATGATGCCAAATAACAGTAAGCAGACATTCTCATTTGAAATAGGCTGATCTAATATGGATACTGTTCTGACTTAAAGAAAGAATCTTAAATATGATAAGAAACCTTTAGCTACGGGTAACATTTACTTTACACACAAAATATTTGAGTGCCCTTTATAAACGCTGTGCTAATTCTAGATGCAATTGTTAAGTGAGAGCCTATGGACTCCTACTGTCTGTATTAATTCTCAAAGTGCTAATAATAAAAAACAGACTCCCTCCCTGACTTCTTTGGTAGCAAACCGGTTTAAATGAGGCTATGGTTATTTTAGAGTTTAATTCCTCAGCAAAGTTATAAGACTGCTAGACACAAAAATGTAGGCCTTCAGAGTTTAATACAGCAAAAGTGCATGTTAAATTCTCTTACTGTTTTCCAAATGTGAATATGTTGCATGCATAAATTAACATTCATTTATGTAAACTTTGCTGGCAACAAATAAAACACACATATGCTGCACTCAACTTGGCTCCATTTCCTTTGTTTTCTGCTTTGGGAAAAAACTGAACAAAAGTTGTAGTCATCCAGTTTTCCTGTAGCGCAGTAACACTCTTAACTACCTTTTGTAAATGTTTTGCAATAGCCAAGCAGAAGTATGTAAATAATAATTTCAAGTTCAACTCACTAGTTTTTGTTGAATTAAGACAAACGGAATAATACCATAACATTTTCACATTGAGTGACAGTGATGGGGAAAAATGCGTCTTGGAAAAAAGAGCATAAAATAAGAAACACATTTACCTATGCAATAACCTGGTAATGTAATCTTATTATCAGGAGAAAAAAAAAAAGAAAAATGAGAGAATGAATATATTTTATCACTTTGAATTCAGCGTTTTCTTAAAAACAAGAGCTCATATAAATGAATAACAAATCTTTGTATTTAACAATAGTTAAGTAGTACCAACTGTAAAATTACTCTGCTCTCCGGCTGTTCCTGGATATTGTGTGTGTTGGTTTAATCTAATGTGTATTGTTGCGTGGTATCCCCAGGCACAGTCAAGTAAAAGCTAAAGCTATACAGAAAAGCCTACATTTTAAATGGGTCTTGTCATTAATGCTTTATTAATTGCCCCAGGCTACACAAACCCAAAGCCAGGCGAGCTATAACAATATGACACATTAAGGTCAAATCCAATTCCTGCTGTGTTTTATAGAATGGGCCAAATATTGAGTTAACAGCAGGAAAGGCAATTTATGGGCTTTTCTTTCCATCTCCTGATTATTTGATCTAAATTAGATAGGAATTTTTTGAGATAACAAAAACACCTTCACTGAGTAATATAAAAGAATCTTGCATCATTGTCTATGATGCTCAAAATTATCTCCTTTAAGGTTATAATTTTAATATGATGGAACAAAGCTGCAATATAGAATGTCTTATATACCCACTTAAAAAAAAAAAGAAAAACAAAATTTCACCATACTTTGAAATTCAATTAATATCAAAAAACAACAGAGCCTACCTTTACGTCAGAAGTATCTCTCTGACTAGTTCTCCATGACCTTGCGACTGACGAGAAGGTTCGATCTGGGTGGTCAAACTTTCCATCATTTGCATTGAGGAAGAAGGTTGTGAAAGGTTCCTAAGCAAAAAACAGAATCAGAAATGTGACTGTCAATACAGCTGTCAACACAGCTGCCCTCGTCCCTTTGTAAAATATGGCTATCTTTGACACTCTCTCGAGGTAGAAGCAGAGCAAGCCTAGAAAGATGCCCACACCCAGGTGCCAGAAGATGCTGGTCTGGGTCTGACCGGGCCACTGAGGCAACTGTCACTCTGGACCCCTAGCAGGTCATTTTGCTTCTTGGGCTTCCACCTTCTGGTCTATAGAGTAAGGGAGTTCCGGTGCCCTATGATTTTTCTCATAAATGATTTTCATTACTGTCAATTCATAACTCAGATTTTCTAATAATTAAGGCCATACATACTGACATGGCAATAAGAAAACTCACTCTGACACTGATCCCTGCAGTGTGGAATTAGGCGGGGAATGTCCATCTCAGATTACCTGGGAAAAGCTTCTAAACTACTAGTACCACACTATGATTTGACGATCGTTTTAAAAATGCAAAGCCCTGCTTAAAAATCCAACAGCTCTTGGAAGATTCTTGGAGGAAATCTAAACTACGGACTCTGTTTCACGGGAGCCTGACGGGTCTGGAACCTGCTTAACTCTCACCTCTTCACTATTCTCTTCTTCATCTTCTAATATATTGCCATTCTATTCTCACCTCTTGTCCTTAATGTGTGATGTTCCCTTTGCCTGGAACAAACTTATCCCTTTCCCTCACTATCTTTACCTGGCTAAGTTCTTTTTATTCTTTAAGACTCAGCCGAAGCTGGGCTCGGTGGCTCAGCCTGTACTCCCGTGCCTTTGGGAGGCTGAGGTGAGTGGATTGCCTGAGCCTGCGGGTTTGAGACCCGCCTGGGCAGCGAGACCTCATCTCTACAGTAAATCAAAAAATCAGCTGGGCGTGGTAGTGCATGCCTGTAATTCCGGCTACTTGGAAGGCTGAGGTGGAAGGATCGCCGGAGCCCAGCAGGTCGAGGCTGCAGTGGCCGGGAGCGGCCACTGCACTCCAGTCTGGGTGACAGAGTGAGACTCCAACTCAAAAAAAAAAAAAAAAAAAGAAAAAGACTCAGCTGAGATGAATATTTTCCTGGAAGACTTTCCTTGATTTACCAAGGCTCTCTAGTATGCTCAAATAGCAACCTATATTTCCTCAAGCAGCACCGAAGGGTGTTTCACACTGTTTAGTAACTGACTGTTAACTTGTCTCCATTCCCTCTATGGGTAGGTTCCATATCTATTATATTTGCCATTTTATCTTCAACACTTAGAACAACTCCTGGTACACAGAAGTTGTTCTATGCATAATCTGTTGGATAAACAAATAAAATAAACTCTAGATCTTCTTGTATTCTGTGACTACTACCTCAGGATAACAGAGTGTCTATTATCCAGTACGTTTCCATAGCAGGAAACCTGGGAATACCTTTACTGCAATGTCTTAATGCATTTAATTTTAATGTTATTGCTTTTTTCTGTAGTTATGTTGGGAGTTCTCGTGTTGGGAGTTGTTTTGCTCTTATATTTTTGATATCATTAAATTTGCTTTCAAATTTAAGAGGATTAAATAGCATTCATTTGTACTAAGGGTTTCTTAGTTAGCTATAGATATCAATAACTATAAAGAGTTTGGTGTTGGGAGAGAGAAAGGTATGATGAAAGAGATGAGATCAGGAATGAGATAGCAAGATCCATGCTAAGGGGGCATTATTGATTCACCTGAGGATAAGACATGCATGCAGGAAGCCCATGTTGCTGTTTAAGATTTTAAGTGACAGGAGAGACAACTAGACGTTTGCAAAATTAAGTTAGGACAAAAATTATATGGCATGGCTTTCTCTAATTATTTTGCTTTGTAAACTTTGAATTCACTATTGAAAATAAGGCAATAAATGCAGTACATCTGATCACTAAATTAAATTATATTGAAATGGGCATATAACAATTCTAACAGCAGCAACAGTAAAATGAATGAAATATGACAGATTTAAGTTTGAATCTTGGTAGAACTATCTATCTATCTTGGGCAAGTTACTTAACTGTAAATAAACATGTCAAATAACTGTGTCTCCATTTCTTCATCTATGTAAATTGGGAAAGACAATGTCTTGGGGGTAATTATGGGAATTAAGTAAGATTAAATGAAATAATATAGAGAAAGCCTGACATATCTTACCTGATACAGAGTCATAAAAACGATGACCAGCTTGACGCAATGTGCCAAGTATTCACTACTGGACACCCCATGGACTGCCAGTTCCCTTGTCTCCCTGATGAGACTCCTAGTTCCTCAGGGCTTATCTTGTATCTCAGTGGCAAGCACAGTGCTTGGCTCATGGTGAAAGTTTGATAAATGTTTGCTGAATGCAAGGTGCTGTTGGGACATGGGGCTACGGGTGGTGAGAGTAAGACTGAGTTTGTCTTTGCAGCTCTTAGCTACTAGTAGAAGTTTGACCAAACAGTCGTAACTTCAGAATCATCTTCATTATTCTTGATACTGATGTAAGGCATTTAATTTTTGCCATAGTTAGTAGGCAGAGATTAATTTGGAGGGATCAGACTTGTCTCTAGGTTTTTTAACCTATTAAACAGATGTGAGTGAAAACCCACTTATACATGCAAAGTCTTACTTATCATCAGCCACTAAAAGCTAATCTCTACCTCAACCTAAATTATAAAATCCTTTCTAGATTTCAACGCTTAACAAAGACATGCCAAGAATAACACTGACAGGCATAGTGAAAAGAACTCTTCAATGGAAGAATGATTTTTATTTCTGGCAACAAAGTTATGAATGAATCTGGTGACACCCAAAGCAGAGACTATTGAAGAATTTCACATTTCACTGTGTTAAGTAACTTTTAAGAAGATCTGATTAACAACTGTTTTAGGGTCACATACTACATTACTGACATATATTCTCATTATTCCTGAGGGCCTCCAGCTGCTACTGTGGTTGAGTACTAATAGAAATTGATAACCTATTTGTTTATAAGTAAGTATTGATCTTTCAAACTCTGATTACCATGGAGATTACTTTTTTCCATGTGTTTTCCTGTTACCTCCAAGGCACAATGCAAGGACTTTCTTTTTCATTTGACTCTTGTCTGACTAGCATAGAGAATCAGGTGGTACATTAAGCTTATGTAACTTTTATATTTATTTGCCTAACACCTGTCAGTTAAGCCATTTTCTATATGGACATCAATATATTAGATGTTTTATCATTATATTAGAAGAGTTTTCAGCTTGGGAGATAAAATATATAAACAAATATTACACAGCAGCTTCAGAAATTGCAATCCTGGTACTCGTTGGGCTTTAAAAACTTCAGGTGAGGACCTGCGATCTAAATGGCTCAGGGCAGAACTTCTTCTGAGTATATCCACCCCAATGTTACCTCACATCGTCTAACCTTTTTTCAGTGATGGAACACCAAACTCACCTGGCCTGCGCCGGGAGATAACTACTGTATTCTATCCTACCTGTGAGTCCCCTGCAAGGACACTGACAGCCTTTCCAGTCTTTCAAAATTACTACAGATCAATTAATTCTACCATGAGCACCTAACGCAGTTCCTGCTTTCTCTCCTCTTGACCCAACTCCTTTGTTCTTTTGTCATTTTGCTTAGTCATCCTTAAGAAGTTTTCCCTAAGTCCTCCCCTTGGAGTTTTCTTCTCTTCATTCCAGTTAGAAGCCTAAACAAACCCCGTCCATTTGTAATAGGTAGTGCTTGGGACATAACTACAGCAAAGAAAAGCTAAATATTTGAAGAGATAGGAAGCATAATAAAGACAAAATGGAAGGGAAATAACAGTGAAAAGTGAACACTCTTTGTGCAAGGCACTATATTATCTCAGCTAGCTCAATCCTCACAGTCATCCTTCAGAATAGATAATTATTCTCTTTCACATCTGAGAAAATTCAAGGTTACATTCTAAGAAATGGAGGAACCATTACTGCTACTGGTCTTTGTCTAACTTCAGAAGTTTATTTTCTCTAATATCTTTTGAAAGAATCCAGAAGTATGTTTTAGAATATTACAGGAGTCTCAATGAATTAACCTATGTACCTACCATATGCACCAGACTCTTGGTTAAGTACTCATCTTCCTCTAAGTAAATATGCATTGTCCTTAAGCATCAGCATTCAGGAGAAACATGACAACAGTATTTCACTCAGAATCATTATCTTTGTGATACTGAGCAAAAGTGCACTGCAAAAGGGCTTTTACTTTTTTTTTTTTTTTTTACGTGCCGGAGTCCAGCTCTAGCTGGTTTCAGGGTACCCCAAAGGTGGAGATGGCATTGGCGATTGGGGGGAAGAAGAAAGAGAGAGAGAGAGAGAGAGAGAGAGAGAGAGAGAGAGAGAGAGAGACTGGACCCCTGTCTAGTGCAGAAGCCCTACTTTTTTTAAAACTACAAATATATACTTTTAAAGATACATTATAGTCTGTGAATAACATTCAGTTATTTCTGTATAGATGTTATATGTCTAGGATAAGATTTAAAGGAAAAAATTCCAAGTCAAATGTGTGCTTTTATATTAGTTAACATCTGAAGAGACTCCAAACTCTGTTATAACAGATTGTCATCATCTGCCTAAAGGTGGCTATCAAGAAAAGTCTTTTCCAGGCAACGCTTATACACTGTTGGTGGGAGTGGAAATTTTATGGAAAGTGATATGGAGACTACTCAGAGAACTAAAAGTAGATCTGTCATTTGACCCAGCAATTCCACTGCTAGGTATCTACCCTGAGGAACAAAGTTTGTTATATAAAAAAGATACCTGCACCCACATGTTCATCAAAGCACAGTTCACAATTGCAAAGATGTGGAAGCAATCTAAATGCCCATCAACAGAGGGGCAGATAATGCCCATCAACAGATGGGTCAGCAGATAATGAAAATGTAGTATATCTACACTATGGAATACAATTAAGCTATAAAAAAGAATGAAATTATTTCTTTTACAGCAACGTGGATGGAATTGGAGACTATTCATCCTAAGCA